CAAGTTGGGGCTATGTTGGCCCATCTTGGAGCCATGTTGGGGCGGAGAGCAAGCAGACAACAAAGTGCTAATAATGCAAGGCTTCTCGGGGAGCATATCTCGCACCACGAGCCTTTCTCAGCAGCAGCGCCATCAGGTGCAGAGAGCAAATGCCCCTCTTCACTTTGTTTCGTTGCTCTGGGGGTTGTGATGAGAAAGAGGCCAGCGCCAAGAAGGCCACGTCCACTGAGGCCACCAGCATTGTTGTCAGGCCCAGCAGCTGGATTCAGGGCTGGCCCCGCCTACCAGAATGAGACGCTCGCATCCGCAGTGGGCCTGCCTTGAACTCTTTGCTCAGGATTGCAGGCGCGGCTTGTGCAGAGGTTGGCCAGTATATGTCCGTGTTGTGTTCATTGTTCTGCCTTCAGGGATTGAGGCGACCACCGTCGATCTACTGGCATCAACCATCCTCGAGCTGTCAATGCAATGCGCGGCACAGCTTTGCACTGCGTAGCAGGAGTCATGGTCATTGTGGCAAATTGGTGGCCCAGCCTCGGTTGTCTCCAAAGACGAAGCAACGATTGGAGGTGGAAGACGCTGTGTACCTTCAAAAGGCAAACTTCCATGATTTCGAGATTGAGATGGGGATGGGGCACTCCTTTCATCCGTCGTTCCGGTAGCTGGAGGCCTACATCAGGCGCCGGTGGTGATTCACGGAGCATCGACCGCCCACCCTTGATGTGGACCACCCATTGTGGTTGGCCCTGGGTAAAGGCAAGGCAAGGGTCCTCGCCTTGCGCTCGCTGCACGGTTTTTTTTGGCCAATTTGGGCGGCAGTAGATGGACCTGGATGAAGAATATCTCTGGGGTGGTGGTGCAAATAGGGCGCGAGCGCGCATTCGTTTCGAGCATGTCATTTTGCAGTTCTGAATGCCAAATCCTTTGAATTGAATGTTTAAGTGTGCAAGTTCATATGAAAAGGGCGACTAGATACAGTGGCAAGTTCACTGGCCGATTCCACACACACGCGCACCACTACCAAAAACTGAAACACGGGAGCCCAGAGCGACACCATGCGATGTTGTCATTTGCTTACATGTACTGTTGGAGGCGGGTTGTGGGGTTGCAGTTCATGTCCCGGCATGTTTTATATGCAATGGCAAAAATATATACACATGCATTTGTATGGTCAAACTGCTCTCAAGAAATGGTTTCTTCTTTGGCTACGCCATCCTTCGGGAGACAGGTTGGCTGATTGTGTGTTTTGAGGAAGTTCCTAAGCCACACGACTTTCACTCCCCGGGCGCGCAGCACTCACCGACGTGGTCCGAAGCAAAGCACGACGTCCGTGGACCCGCGGACTGCGCGTGTTCTTTGCTGCGCTGAGTCGTTTGATGGGCGGGGGTCGGATCGTCAGCGCAGAAGAGCAGTGCATCTTCTTACGCCGGAGGCCGATTGTAACGTTGACAGATGAAGGGCACACTTCACCAGAGGGGTTGCCTTGGGCGTTTGTGGTTTTGGTTGACCCATCTTACACCTCTGGGTTAGTGAGTCAGTCCGTTCACGAGAATTTTTGTAGTAGTTCCGGAATGTTACTATTTTTTTCAAGTGCCTAAAGGGATGTTCAAGGCCTTGAAAAGCCAAGGTCCAGGTTTGTTGATCCATGCATTATATGCAAATGGGCAAGTAATTTAGTCTTCATTGGCCGGTCCGTCCATGGTTGAAGAATCTACGAAAGAAAGACACAACTTTTGAAGGTGTGCCCCATCCGGATGGCTTTGGTACCAAAAGAAAACGGTTCTAGTTCCATCCTTTGGCCTGCGATTGACCGGGGGTGTCTTGGCCGAGCCCCTATTGCTACATGTCTTCCTCTTCAGGGGACTGTCTGGGGGACTGGTGGGGGGGGACACGGGGTCTCCTTGAGCTCTCCGTGGATTCGTGATTCATGAACCCCATTTCAAATTTCTTATCCTCTTCAGTCCTGGAGGGTGGTTACAATATCATCAAGAGTGGTGGCAGCAAAGCCAGGGACAGAAGAACCACAGGAAGCAGAAACACCACGGCGAACTCCGAAGCCGATGCTGGCACCTGGAGCCCCAACTCCGACGGTTGACATCCACATAGAGGAATTGGTTCATTTTCCCTGGTGAACCAGGGCTACGAGGTTTTGACCCACAGCCATATATTCAATGACACACCCATCACACCCATCACACCCATCACACCCATCTATCCATGACACACCCATCATACCCATGACACACCTATCCATTTGATCGGCCCCGCGTCCTACCCATCGGCGGATCTCGCTCAATTGATCGCCTCAGCAGTGGGCCGCTCTCCGGTCCCCGCGCGTTATGGTATGCGCCTGGCGCAACAAAAGAGTGTGGGAAGGTGTGTGGTGCACGGGGGGGGTCGGAAGCCGCAACCAAGCGCCGCAGAAGCGTGGGGATAGGATGGGATAGGTTGGGATAGCTCGCGAGGTGGCCTGGGGTGGTGCTTCGGACGGACATATCTGCGTTGGAAGATGACATCTGGATCTTCCAGCCAAGCAAACATTCTGCCTTGTCATCTATCAACAAGAAGGCAGGATTTTGGCATAGGAAGATCGATCGATATAACTGATTCGTCGTTTAACGTTCCCCTTTGACAGTCGTTTCAGAGTAGATGGCACACGGGACTGAATAGATTACTTTTAGACGGGGGACCTGAATTACTGGCTGCCCTTCTGCAGGTTTTCTCAGGAAAATTCTGAGATCTGACTTCCGAACACATCGTGGGGAATTATGGGAAGTGTCGCCCAACGAAAGGCCTCACGGGATGCCATTTTGTAGTGGCTGAACTGAGGAAGTTTGAAGACAAAGTCAGATGTAGACAGGGATTCAGGGATTCTGTGAAAGACTAGCTGACTAGCATGAACTAGCTGATGGGTCATTATGGAATAGGTCGGATGGTACCAGATTGAAGCTCCCATCCACTTGTCTTCGAGGCATGAAAACCGGAGGACATGAAAGAGGCATTTGCTACAGATGGTCTGGTGGGCAATGCCGCACATCAAGTTGGGCAGTTAGGGGAGGCCATCGCTATTAGGTTGGAGGCCATCGCTTCTAGGTTGGAGGGCAGAGCGGCCTTTAAAACATTTATAAAAGGAAGCCTTCGCCTGATTCTTTTTGCGATCGTTCGGCATTCATTTTTCTTCGGACATGCCGCACATGATGTCAACAGGCCACCACAAGTATATACTAGACTTTCCAACAAATTATTCAAACATCATGCTTGTTTTATGGATGACAAAAACATCATTTTTGCACAGTTGAAAGATCCAGGTATGCAAAGATGTAGGAACGACCGCTTCGATTCCCAATCTATTTCATTTGCAAGAACAGAGTTCTCGTTGCACGTCTCAAAAAAGCGGCACAAAGTCACAAACCGCGCCGGTTTTGCTCAGTCCTGCCCACTTTTTGCAGGCAAAGAACTTGCTGCAACTTGGCTGAGAACTCCCAAGATCATGATCTTCCAGTGATCAACCAGAGGAAAACCTCGAGAGAAAGCAGCGTAGTCACCAATATCACTTGTTTATTGTGAGTTGGCTGTTGCCTAGGTCCACATGACATCATTTGGGGGCGCATGACCAAAGGGATATCTCGATTCATTGGTTCAATGTTTGGTACCACACCACTGCAGTACTTAAATAATCTTAACACTCTTAAAAGCAAACCATATTTTGCATCTTTGCCTGAGAGGCCCTGCGGGTGCTTCGACCAGATCCAGTTGACACCCATGGGCCAGCGTCCTTGTGAAACAGCTCGGGGCCCTGCATGTCGAAACCATGGCGGCGGCGGACGCCGGACGAGGATGATGATCCTGCTGGGACTTTGTTTCGTCAATCAATGGCCGGTTGGTCGTCAGCCCAGGATCTCTGTGGGTGACGTCGGCCCAGGATCTCTGTTTGCGTTGCCTCCAGATGAAGATGCCGATGAGCTCCTAGGGCTCTCCAGAGAAAAGAAGGATCCCTTTACAATCCTTGGCCTTGCAAGGAACTCGGACCAGGCGGCAGTTCGGCCTGCCTTCCGGAAGCTTGCAGGTAAATTGCACCCGGATGTCGCAGGCACGGGCGATGCAGCTGCCTTCCGCAAGGTCTTGTGGGCCTACCGAGAGCTCTCCGAACCCGACAGCTGGCTCCGTTGGAGCGCCACAAGAGCTAGGCGTTCGCGGAGCTTCGAGAGATCCATGAAGTTTAGCGAGGACTTCGAGGAGCTCTTCGAAGATGCAGTGGACGCGGGGCCCGACGCCTTAGACGAATGGGAGGAGTTCTACAGGAGGCGGCAAGCCGAGAAAGCGGCTCAGGTGCAAAAGACTCAACAGCAACTGGTAAGACGTATCATTCAAGGAAGCTATGAGGAGAAGGGCTCCAACCACGGACGCCCGGTCTTTCGAAAAGCCTTGGACACCGGAGAAAGTGTGGCCATTTACTATTGGGCTGAAAAGGATGGTGCTGACTGTGATGGTTGGTGGATAGGAGCTGAAGTAGGTGGAGACATGGTCTTTGCATTCAATGTGAACCAAGCCTCGAAGCTTCCTCCCTTGATGGGCTGGCGCTTTCCGGTCCGCGGTCCGCTGGACAACTCTCTGCGAGTTCTACAAGGTTCAAACCGCTCTGAAGTTCGAGTCACTTTTGAAGCATGAATGGGTCCACCTGAGACATATATGGTCACACCCACGGGCACATGATAGTGAGCGAGACACGCAACCGCGCTGTGAGACGCACCGGCCAGCTGCCAGGGGGGCGACCGGCCGGCCGTGTGTCCGCCACGTGTCGGGTCGGTGGAGTCCATAGGACTCCCACCCTTTTTGCGCCTGCACAAAAAGCTGAGGCCAGCTGAGCCATGCCGCCTCCTGCTCCATTTTTCGATGCCGTGCGTTTTCCTTTTGGGATTCTTTTTTACCATTTTTTTCCCCGGACATAGCACAAACATCGAATGGATTGAATCGGCCCGATTCAGCAGACATCAGTCTGTCAGGGCCAATTCTGTGGCGACCGCATGGACGGGGAGGGCACCTACCACTTCTCCGATGGGTTCGGGCGCCCGCGACAGGGACGCTTCGGGACGGGACGGAGAGTGGACGGCGGAAGACGTGGAGTCGAGTCGAGGAGCTGAGTCGACCGAGCTCTGAGGTGAGGAGGGTGCGAGATTTTTCAGGTCAACATCTTGGTTTGAAGGCACCAATTCGGCACCACAAGGACCATGTAGAACGGTTGATGGATGATATTTTCCCATAAATATAATATATGTATGGAGATGTAAGGCAATTCTGGTGAGAGGGTGCCTATTATTCACTACATCCATCCATGCTCTCCATCCAAGGAAGTGGATTCCAAGATAGGCGCAAGATGGCTGGGTGTGTTGCTCAAATAGGGAGACCTCCCAGGCGTTCCGAACCCGGGTTTACCCAGCCAGCGGCAAGCCCAAATTCAGCCCAATCTCGGAAACCACTTCGCCTGCCTCATGTTAGAAACCATGTTGGACAGGCATGGACATGTCCACCGTCCACTTCGCCAAGCACCGCTCTGGAACCTTCCAAGCACCATTGGTTCATCGGCTCCAAAACACCATGCTCCCGGACCGAGCCCTTGCAGTCTTTCCATGTCGACCCTTTCCCACCCTATAAGCCCTCGCCCTTTCGTCGTTTCCCATGTCCAGAACGGCGTCACGTCCAAGCAACGGCGCCATCGGCCCAAACACACACCGTGGGCGTCGCCACGTCCACCGAGGCGGGTCTACACCGGTGCCTGGCAGAGGGGGCACATGTCAGGCGCTGCGGGAGACATCGCGTGACACACGCGACGTTCGTTTTTTTGGGGAGGGGAGAAGCAAGTGGGAGAGTGACTCAGGCAGCAAGAGTCAGGCTTTTCTCGGTTTGGTTGAACCCAAACACCGAACACCATCTTAAAAGAACAGCATTTGCTTTCGAGCCTTGTGTTGCTCGAATTAATTTAAATTCAGACGAACTTCCAGGCGTGTTTTTTCGGACATGGACAGTGGACATGGACATTTCCAGCATCAACCCCACACAAGCAACACAAGAAGAAAGAGCCAGAACGGATGGATGTTCCAATATGACCATTCAAATCCTTTACATCGAGCAAGTGGTTGTTGTTTGGGAAGTTCCCTCTATAGAACTGTTGTTTCGATTTTAGGGAGCCTGGGCTTTCTTCACAGATGTGAGCACGTCCTGCTGCCTCTTTGGGTGAAAAACACATGGAAAAAACGACGCCAAGCGATGCCCAGCGAAGCACGTCCGTTTCTCGCCACGGCACGGAGCACCTCGGTCGTTGGAGACGGAGCGAGCTGGACTCGGCGGTCGGAGCGACGTCGGCGATTCGGATTTGTCCGATCTGTGTTTGTCAAAGGAAAAGAGGGTTATCCTGTTGTAGTTAATATAATATATATATATATAAGAGGACATCCTCGAGAATCTCCCATGTCGGGTTCGAGAATCTATTCTATCCAATCGTCGTACACAGACATCGTCCAATCGCTGTCTTTGGTTCAGTCCATGCTTTTTCAAATCCAACCGAGTCATGACTTATCGGTCTTGAGACACCGCCATCCACATCATCCACATCCAGTGGACGGCTCCCGAAGAAATGGCATGTTTTCTCTGCTTAGACAACGGGCCCTCTGGAAGATGCTTTCTGTTTATTCTCTACCAACTCAAAACCCAGCGTTTCTTTCTTTATTCGCAGAGTCCAACGTTGGTTTTCAGAGTTGGACCAGGGTGGTTTGCCCGATCTATGACGAGTCACGATCAGTCATGCCCGCCAGAAAGACCACCACCGACCTGGTCGGTGAAGGAGACCACCAAGATCAGAAGCTGAAATGAACAACACCACGAAGCTGAGATAAGAACTTCAAATCAAACAAGAAGCTGAAATATGAAGCTGAGACCAGATCACCAAGACAACATCTCTTTTTGGTTTGGTTCCCCATTGTCCCCCTCGTCACCGGACGTTTTTCCCACCTCCATCGTACCCCAAGCGACGACTCGACGGTGATGTCCGTCGCATGTCGCAGCCGCGACTCACTCGGAGCGACGTACCGGGGACGTTCACCCCCAAAACCCTTGCTATACCCCCTGGTGAGGTCATGTTTGTTTTTTTTGAACATGAAAGCACGAAAGGAGGCAAGAGCGAGCGCAGGGCTTCACCAGCTGCATGTTTTTTTCAAAAGGCCCTTTCGACGTCCAGTCTGACCCAGTATACAACACTAGTTTGCTTTTTTGTATTAACAAGTGCCACGCTAGTAGTAACAGGTGCCTTACTAGTAGTAACAAGTGCCTTACTATAGTAGTAACAGGTGCCTTACTAGTAGAAACAAGAAGCTATTAATTTAGTTTAATTTTGCTTTTTTGTATCCTTTTTTTTTTTTTTTTTTCGGTCGTGTCTTTTGAATATGACCGTCCAGCTCACTGGAACCCGCAACCCCTTCGGGTCACTCGCGCTCACGCGGCTCGCGACGGGTGGAGAACCGATCCATCGGAGATGCGTCGTTGGTTCTCACAACGATGACGCGCCAGGGAATGGTACCATGACCTGGCCGGATGGCGCCTGGGTCTGTTATCTTTTTACTTTTCTTTTATATCGTGTTTTTTTTCTAAATCTTGTTTTTCTTTTGGATGAGGTGTCGTGGGGTGCCATTTTTGGGTTGCCAGGTGAAGAATACGTCCTGGTAAGTTGGGAGGATGAGGATCAGGAGGTCTCAATAGATAGGTTCCAGAGGCTTCTTAGGAGAAAATGCACAGGAACTGCGGCAGAGAGGCCAAACAAAACAGACACTACAAGGCTGATAGGAGAAGGGAACCAGACTGTCCATTCCACCTGACATCAGAGTTTCCGAGTATGCAGAGTTTTGAGCATCCTGTGTGGTGTAGGAACCTGTCCTCGTGGGCATGTTTGATGCAGTGCTTGCAACGAACGAACAGATGCAGATGAGGAACTGCCCGGCCGAGCCGGGCCTCAGGAGTCCTTCGAGTCCTTCGAGTCCTTCAAAACATCTCAAAGCCAGCTCTGCATCACATGGAAGTGGACAAACCATCGCAGTTTTGTGGGCAGAAACATAGTGTCGGCTCGAAACCTCCCAGCGGTGCACCGGTGTCATCGGAAGTTCGAGGGGCGTGACCCATGTCGGTGGCACTGTTGGAAAGGCCGCTCAGTCCAGGTCGCTGGACTGGAGTGCTTGAGCTTGGAGATTCTAAGCAGGGCCGCTTTCGTTGTGCGAGTTTGCCTTTGTCTGGCCAGATTTGCTTCGTTGAGGGTCTTCCGGATGGGTTCAAAGACCGTGTCACGGTTTATGACATTCTTGTCAATCAGGATTGCATGGGGTTTGTACTTCAGATTGATGTCTCTACCGTGGTGGTCCAGAGAGCTCAGCTTAGCGTGGATGATCTTCATGAAGTCAAAGAGCTTTGTTGCGGCTTGGCATGCATCTCAATGGGAGCAGCGGCTGTTGGTGGAAAGGCCGTCGGAGCCTTGGATGTGAATGGGCTAGCCATTTCTCACCTTGAAGCAAATCATCACCCCGGTCCGATTCGAGGGTCAGTCTTGAAAGATAGTGATGTATGCCGGATTCGCCTACTTGGAGGGGCCAAGAGAGGGACCCTGACGGCAGGGTTTCCCTGCCAGCCTTTTTCGAAGCAAGGGGATAGGCTTGGCATGCAGGACAGCAGGTCAGGGGTGTTTGAAGGGGTGGCCAGAGCAGCTTGGTTGATGCAGCCTGGGCTGCTGATGCTAGAGTGTGTGGTTGAAGCAGGCTTGGTTCCTGAGATCCAGAGTGTCCTGGCAGCATTAGCCAAGGGCTTGAACTTTGGAGTACGCACCATAGAGTTGGCACTGGAGGATGTTTGGCCTTGTCGAAGGCGTCGTTGGTGGGCGATCCTCACCATAGCCCCTTGGCTGCCAGCTGAGCTAAAATCATGGCCAAGCTTTGCTTTTCCTACAGTTCGAGATGTCATCCCCGAATGGCCTGTCTGGCCAGAACATGAGGAGGCCCAGCTTGAACTTGGGGGCATTGAACTCCAGGCATTCCATGAGCCTAGCTTTGGAGGTGGAGATCGCATCTTGCAGATGAATGGTAAAGCCCCAACGTTTCTCCATTCGTATGGTAGCCAGCTCGTTGCATGTCCTTGCAAGTGCAGAAGCAGTGGATTGAGTCCTGCTCGACTAGGGCGTGCTGGATTGAGGGGAGTGTACATACACTCCCAGCTGAGCAACATGCCTCGATGGCTTCACCCGAGAGAGCTGGCGGTTTTGCAAACTATCATGCCAGACATTGTCCTTGATGATGATCTGAGAGCCAGTTTGGTTATGCTTGGTCAGATTGCAGCACCGGCACAGGCACTTTGGTTGCTCGCCCAAATCTGGCTACCGCTCCGAGAAGTGGATATCACGCCAGAAATTGCCCTGAAGAAGTACCTCGATGCTTTGCTATGTCGTCGATATCATGTCTTTCCCCCGGGTGCCATTCCTGATCGACAATTGATGCACATTTGGCATGACCAGGGAAGTGAGCTGATTGCCTTTAGTAGCATTCAACGAGTGGAGGATTTTGTAGGTGCTGAAGAACGTCTCCTCAGTGACGTGGAAGTGCAAATGTGGGATGGAAGCTCCAGGCTCAAGAGTACTGATCTGCTTCACTCAGCGGGCCAGTCAGGTGCCTATTCCGTTGTCAAGGTTGAGAAACCGGTGCGAGAGATTTCAAGTCCTTTGGTTCTGGTGAAGTTGATCTCAGGAGAAATGACATGGCAAACACTGGTGGCCTCGGGCAGTTTTGTGTTTGAAGCTTTTTGGAGACTTCGCCTGCAAGTCGAGCCTGTTTCGCTGAGGGATGATCATGATGAATGCTGGTTTCCGGACAGTCGAATTTGGGAAGATGTGACGCTGCTTGATGTGCCAGTCATCTCTAGCGGCCCACTAGACACCGGTGTCTGTCTACAGCAGCCTCAGGATGATATCACAGGCCCACAACTCCAGCGAGCCATTGATGAACTTATGCTGAATCCCTCAGGCCCAGATGAAGTTCTGCTGACAGTGGACCAGGTGCAGGTGCTGATTCGGGCTCCAATCCATCTCCGGAGTAAGGTCTTGCATCGCTGTGGGCAGTGCTTGGTGTTTCATGGAGTCTTCCAGAGTTGTGGACATTGGGCTATGTTCTCATGTGTCCGCCGTGAATCCATGGTTGAGATCCAGTACTTCGACGGAGTCATACACCTGCTGGAACATGAAACGCGTGAAGTGGGAGCCTGGGCAGGACGCCTATGGGGTCTGTCGCAAGTTGATGTCATCTTTGCCAGGATTGTTGTCCAACCTATGCCGCATCTCAGTGCCGCTGTGGCACTGGCACATTTGCGGCAGGCATGCTCATTAGCGCAGGCACCCTCTCCCGATGATTTGGAGCAGTGGCATGAAAGTCTGATGCAGCCTGTTCGAGTAGCAGGACTCACTGACAATGAGATTGACATGGAGGTGGAGGTGGAAGGAGTTGAAATGATGGCCCTGATGAGATTTGCTGAACACATAGCGGCAGAAGCTACCACGGCAGTGACATTGGTGCCACTGCCAAGTAGTGTCAGCCTCGGGCATGGCGATGCAACAGAAGCTACGTTGTTCGTGCAAGGCATTTTGCCACTGACTGCGCCTCTCGCATTGTTTGTGGAATCAGCACACCACTGGCTGCTGTTTGTGCTTCGGCTTGAGAATGACTGGTTGGACATTGAGTACTATGATGGCTTGCCGCATGGACATGACTTGACGGTCAACACAGTGACCGCCTGGGCACAAGAAACGTTACAAGCTCGTGGATTCGTCCTTCATTATGTCACTGGGCTGACCCAGCAGCAGCATGACCACTGTGGAGTTGTTGCTCTTGGCAACTTTGCCATGATTGCCAACGCAGAAGACCACTGGACGCAGGAACAACTTGCGGACCTGCATGCTCTCCTACAAGATTCCTGGGAGGTCTCGCATTCAGTGTGGGCTTGTGGTGGCGGCGATGGTCAAGCAGGAAGCTTGGCTCAGCAGTTGGCAGACATCCTCATCACTAAGGGTGTCCCAAGAGATCGGGCACATGAACGAGCGCTGGCAGGGATAGCAGCAGTGGGAGAGGTTGCGCTGACGACTGCATTGAAGCACAAGAATCCTTGGGTCGACCTCAAACAATTGGGGTCAAAGCCTTCAGTCAACTTTCAATGGGTGAAGCCAGATGAGCTGATGCGGCAAGTTCGTGCTAGGGCTGAGGAGCAGTATGGTGTGGCAGCATCGATGAAAAAGAAGGATGGCAAACGAGCCAAAGCGGAGACACAGCCATTGCACATCAATCCACAGCAATTGAGTCTGATTGATGGTTCATTTGTGGACCCAGCAGGAAACTCGGTGCAACAGATTCAGCTTGCAGATGTCTCCAGTCAGGCCTCGGGATTAGCATTCGCCACGGTTAATGAGGCTTGCCCTTATCTGCAGGAAGGCAAAAGTTTGAGCATCTCACCTCTGGCTTTGCTCACAACCAGTCCAGTGCCTCATGAGCAGATTGGTTTGCTTCCAGTGCAGAATTTGCGATTTCCAGTATTGTACCAAGGGACGCAAGAACCTGTTTTGGTGCAAGGATCGCTCATTCAGTTGGGAGATGAGAACATCACGCGCAAGCTGGAAAGAAATCCTCCAAGCCTGGATGCATTACCCACAGAAACCATGCGGCTGATCGTGTTTCGTGATGAATTTGAGGCTGCAGGTGGCAATTGGGATTCTATGTGTCAAGGGCCTTTGAAGCAACTGTTTCAGGCTGTGCCTGGGCTAACAGTTTGCCGTGGATCAGCATGTGGAGGCCAATGCCCCAAACATCACTGCCCGGTGGATCAGGACTATGAGAGCCTGCTCACTGATGTGTGGGAGAGGAGGAAGGGTCAAGCCAGAGGACGCCGGACAATTTTCAGTGCTGGCTAGAGTCATCAAGCATGTTGCAGACCAGCTGCAAAGCCTTTCAGGACAGCATGGCTTGTATGTTGAGCCCAGGCAGTCGGACGGCAAAGGGCCGGCATCAGGATTCGGTGTCGTTTGGCTACATCAGATGGGCTTCAAAGAGGCTGATCACAAGAAGAAAACAGTGGAAGGTGCAATTGCTCTGGTTAGGCTGGGACATCGATGGGGCCTTCGGTTCCGGGAGGTGGACATGGAGAAAGCATTTGCCGAGTTGAGGCCCAATGAAACCTACATGAAAGTGCAGGTTCAAGATGTCTACCTGATGCATCCATTACCTCATGGTACGACACGTGCAGGCTTGGTCAAATGTCTGAAGTCCTGGGGATGGGCAGCAAAGCCACTTCAGCCGGTTCGTGGTGGGCCAGAGGGTGCAGGGTGGCATGTTGGCAGTGGGACAGCTCCACCACGATCGGTCCTTCAAGGGGCGCATGGAGATGTTGTCATTACAAAGGTCAAATCCATGATGAATGTCAAGGAGGCTCCAAGTGTCCTTAGTTCATTTCGAACCAAAGAGCACATGAAGTCGCAGCAGCGAGCCAAGCCGGCGGAAGCAAGGAGTAGTGGAGCAGGAGCA